CTTCTAGTAGCTGTTGGCAGTCATTGCAGTTTATGGGCCCATAGATGCATCTGCTGTGTGTTTATCTAACCTGAACTTTTTATAATTCAGAAGTAATTAATTAGGTTTAGGATCTACCCCACACTAGCATGACCACATTAGCATAAGAAAAGAAAAATTATTTCCAAATAGAATCACTTCCAAAGGCACAGAAGCACACATACTCAACAGATTTTGGAGGGACACAACGCTTAACAACATGCATTTATATATCTATGAAAGTATTTTTATGAAAAGGTGGTTGAAGCTGGTACCCAGGATCAGGGTTGTTGCTATTTCAGTGGAATAGTTGGGGAAGCCAGGTTTCAGGAGGGGCCTGGGTGATGGGCAGGAATACAGAGTATTAGTTGAATATTGACTGGCTGGGAAAAAGCAAGTCACAGATGTAGGCTTCCTATAGCTTATTGCCTGAATAGGATGAGAAAGCACTGCCTTGGTGGAGGGTAGCTGTGGGGAAGCTGCAGCACTTCTGTTCAGCTTCCAGGCCCTTAATTTAAAGATACTAGAAATAAACCCTTGTATTACAATCAAATTAAAACACTTTCACTGCAATCAATACATCCCCATTCACAATGCACAACAGAAAGAAAGCAACTGCCAACATGCAAAAGCTGCCATGGCTGCCTGGGATGAAAATTCCGAAATACAGATCAAGGTGACAGAGAAGCAGGAAATTCATCTACATAGGACTCCATCTTTCAATTTGAGAGTTTGTAAAAATTATAGTCTAACATTGTATTACAATTACTTTAGGATGTAGTATTTCCTATTTTAACCTCTCTGCAATTGATAAAGGACACAGTGATAAATCATATTTAATTGGTATCTTACAATGAATAAAAATGGTAATATGTGGCATCAACAAACAAGATTCCATTCAGGGCTCCTTAAAAACAGTGTCTCACTCTTGGCCTCTCTGAAGACAGAATGGTATCATGGACAAAAATAATCTTTTTTAAAAGTGTATTACCAGCCACTCCTCGGAAGGAAGGTTGGGCAATCTACTTCCATAGTGATACTGCCTCAGAAATTCAAGGAGGGGTGGCTGAGTCAGGTCCGACTCAGCGGCATATAACAACAACAACATTACTTTAAGACCATGAAAGAGTAAAGATTGAGTATTTTAATTATTTCAAACGTATTAACTCATAAGGTGAAATGAAGCTTTAAAGTCTTTCATTGTATTTGAATAGATGTTCCTAGCATTTAAAAAATAAAGTCAATACAGAATTTAAGCACATTCAGAAAAAAATGAACTTATCCAATAACCTCAGTAGTCCAGCACATAAGGTATTTATTTTCCTCTTCTGGACAAGAATTTCTATTGCATCTGACTTTTTTTTATCAGAAGACATATCACAGAGTTAACTTTTGACCCAAGTAAAGCCTTTATTTATTTCAGCTTTCCTGAAAGTGAAAATAAACCATGCTTTATTTCACTAAACGTATCCTTCCCTTTTGGATCTGAAGGGACCAAGATGTCTCAGAACATCAAATATTCCACAGCATTACCAGCAGGAGTAAGGAGGATACTCACAGTTTTGTGCCTTTAATTTCTGATTTACCTTTTAAGGGTGGCCCAAAGTATCACCCCAACATCCTACCCCTTCTTCTCCATTCTCTTTTCATCAACTCAAACAGCAAGATGGAAATAACCAGATTCAAATAGAGGAATGAGTCCCTCTTTTATCCCTTTTGTCTTTAGTCTTAGTTGGGTTTATGAAAAGTCTAAACCCTGGCGACAATTATTCGGCTTTTTTGACCATAAAAACCAACATGACTCAGGAGTGGCAATTCTTGAAGAATGAATTAGACTATGATGCTTATGGATAATCCACGTCATGGCCACCAAGAGAAGATTTCATGGATTTAAGGATTAGTAGGTACACCACTGAGCCCAAGCATGTGTAAAGCTCTTTGCTGAAAAGCCCATGAGGTCAAACCTACAGTACAGCACTCATGAGTGTTGTGGGCCTGGGCTGTTGCTGCACAATAACTTCTGTCAAATACAGAAGGACCAGAAATCATGTCACCTACCAAACAACATCAGCACCAAGATCTTATGTCCAAACAATGACACAGGTGAACTGAAGGCTCATGAAAGTTTCCCAGTAGCCCTCCAAATCTGCAAGAGACCTAAATCTTCAGTGAAGGACAATCCTTCACTAATCCTCCTGTTTTTGATGTTTATCAAATGCCTACTTGTTTTCAACTGAACATTTGCCATCCCTTCTCAACATGAGTCTATGAAAGAAACTTCAGTGGTGAAAACTGCATCTATGTTTCATCATTGAGGCTACAAATCCCAAAGTCACCATGGTTCAGAAGACTCTTCATAATGTTGCTCCTCTTCTTGATTTTCACACACACACACACACACACCCCTACCTATATATATTAGCATTTTATTTTTTCCCTAATTATATTTTTATACTCACTGAAAATGGAAGCATAAATCAATCTTCACACTTCTCTTTAAAGACTCTTAAGCTGGAAAGCACTTTTGCAAATTATATATGCAAAGATAGATGACCCACTGAGATAAAGAAAAAGTTATAGTTCAATGTTACTTTAATGGTTTTGGGGGAAGAGGGGTGGCCTCTTTTTTTTTTTTTTTTTCCCTTCTCTGTTGCCCTTTTCTCTTTTTTTTAATTTTTTTTTATTAGGATTTGGGTGAAGATTTACAGAGTAAATTCACTTTTCATACAGCAGTTCACATATACTTTGTCTCATGTCATTAACCAAAATTTACAATGCAGCAGCTCCCCTCCCACTTCCTCCCCACAGCTACCTCCTCCCAGTATCCATCCCTTCATACTCTTCTGCACCCTGAGCTATCTCCCTGTGCATAAACAGCCCTTCCTTCTCCCATGATTGTTCTCTCCAGGGCGTGTGTCTACTTCAGGTAAACGTTAAACTCACATGCCTGTACTTTGTTTGGCTGGAAACCACAGTTGTGGGTTCAATTCCAGACCTGAAGGGCAGCTAGGGGCCATAGTCAGTGGTTACACCACGCTCTATTGGACCAGCAAACCTGGTCCCCTTCTTCTTTTTTTTTTTTTTTGCCTCCAAATGATTTTGAGTTTTGTTTCACATTGTTCTCCCTCTTTATGCAGGATCTCATACATACCTTCCAAGTGGATGGCAGTGGTAGCTGGGCACCATCTAGTTCTTCTGGTCTCATAGTTGTATAGGTTGCAGATCAGATGGTGTACCAGTTGCTAGGACTGATTGTTTCCATTAATTTTGGTTTTCTTCTTTCTTCTTGATGAGGAGAGACCCGTTGTTTCATCTAGATGGCAGCTTCCTAGCTTTTAAGGTCCCAGTCGCTACTCGCCAAAATAGTAGGTGGAACAATGCTTTGTATAGTATGTTATGCCAATTGAGCTTGATGTCCCCTGCGACTATGGTCCCAAGCCCGCAGGATCAAATACTCGGTCCCTCTGGGTAGCTGGCTGTGACCAAGCAATGACCATAACCTTGCCCCTTGTCAGCTCTACTATACACCTGGGAATTCTCATCATTCACATGAACTTATAGGCCCATTGTCTGCCAACCCTATATATGATCTCTCCATTTAGACATACCTAATTGTTTAGCTTGTTCACCCATCTATCTGTCCCTATATCCATGTTTGCTTTCACTGACAACTCAGTACTGTATATGCAAAAGGGTTCATATTTGTTGTCTGTACTGCCCATGTAACTCTCTATGTCTTTCTCATCCTCAATGCTGCCATATTGGTCACTCACATTTGGTACATTGCCCTTCTCTTCACCCAAATCAATATTTATCTCTATCTATCTAACAGCATTCCCTCCCCTCCCCTCCCACCCCTGGTAACCAACAAAGAAAATGTCCTCCAATATATAAACCTTTCCTTAACTTTTACAATAACGGACTAATACAATATTAGAGGGGTGGCCTCTTTTTAAAAACTGTAATCCAAAGTAGAAAAAAAGTGGCACTAGGAAAATTCTGGAACATTTTTTTGTACTAAGAGATCATAGACTGTTACACATTATACGGGACAATTAAAAATACACAGTGATTTTATTTCCACCTTCTTACAGTCCCAGTATATTGCATCTGATAAGAATCTTCATCTCTATAAACATAAAAATATTTCAAGAAAGCATGTTACGAGATAGTAGGTATAAGCAAGCAATAGTTTGGCAGAATTTTATCAACTCTAGTAGTTCATACCCCAAAAAAACAAATTTTAAAATTCAAAAATAACAATCAGCTTTATTTAACATATGTTACACCTTAACATTTAAAATACCATGCTCTAGTTAAATATTTCCTCAACAACACTGTATACAAATAAAATATTACACAAAATATATTTAAGAAAATGTTTTGGTCTTTGATCTGAACAATAAATAAAAACACAGGCACTTCTACACTGAGACAGGGAAGCAGTCACTATTCAGAATAATAATTTTGCATAAGCAATGTTTGAAAATATGGCAAGAATAGAATCCTGGAGTTTTAAACTGACAAACCACTCGTGAAAAGGTCTGCAACTTCAATCTTTCCACTTAAGGCTCAAAAGTTACAAAGGCTTTCCAGGTCCACTTTTTAATATCACAAACCCAATATGGTTGCCAGGGGCAAGTCAACATTCAGTTGGCCGTTATGGAATCATACTCATTATTGTCAAACACTAATATTAGAGAATTATCATGATACCACCCAACAAACCAAATACACATACAAAAAAAAATGAAATTCTCTCTCTTTACATAAGACTATAACAATAAACTATATGAGTGTCACGTGGTGATTCTCATTTTGCAAAATGAATGTGATTAGATTAACACATGGAAATACTGTTTGGGTGGCAGGAAAATTTGACAGAAGTCAATCTTTCTAAACAATTTAAAATTCATCCAAATTTTCTGAAAATATAAATTTAATTCCATTTCACAGAAGTCACTGAACTATGTATAACAAAGTCTTTACAGACTATTGGTTTATAAAAACCTCAATCACAAATAATAATTAAAATGGAAAGTAAGAATATCATCATGAGGGCACAGCAAAAATAATTAAAAATGGTTAAGCTTCCAGAAACTTATGATTTCTGATGAGAAGGGAGGACAAATTAGAAAAGAATGACCACCAATCAGTAGGAAGGATCAGAATCAATTGTCCCACCATATCCTCCATAAGAAATTATATTCTGCTTTCCCTCTTCAGAAAAGTACAAACTGAAGGACTTAGAGGTCCTCAAATGGACACCTAAAGGCAATTTTGATGGGTGAGCATAGAAATTACCCTAATGTGCGAACACAACATGGGAACTATCCACGATTTGTCTTCCTATGCAAAATTTAGTTAATATATATTTTAGCATTTTAAATGAGCATTTTGTAACTGAGACCAAATATCAATCATTTCTTGGGGTTTTCTACTATGTACTAACATCAGATCTACATAGGAACAAATATTATTCTTATTTTTCTCTTCTATATCAAATGTTCTGAAGCCTTTGTGTTTCTCTGGAACGAGGCCAAGTTTCTGAAGGCACATTCCAGTATAAACATCATCAATGGGGTAGAGATGGACCTGGTCAGTTACATTGTACAGCCTTAGGGCCAGGTGGCCGGAGTAGAGGAACCCACCTCCCCCAGCATAAGGCGGGTAGACACCAGAGTAAACAACTTCTGGAATGTAGTACTTCAGTTTTTTATCCCGATGAGGCCCAGCATTGTGGATCACATCGCCTATAAACAAATCTTTGGCTTTGTTCTTGGATAAGCTATTCAAGTAATTCAGGATGTGATGGGTGTTCACGAAGACATCATCGTCGCCCTTGAAAACATACTCGGCATTTGGGCAAGAAGTGCTCACCCATCTGAGGAACAGCACTTCTTTCAGAGACAAATTAAAGAACGTATCTCTGTAGTTCCACATAAGAATGTCTTGGTGCTTGTCGCTCTCAAATTTCAGCAGATCTGAAAGGTCTGGATGGTTGTCTTCTGGGGGGGTCTGGCCCAGTAAGAAGACACGCACTACCGTCTGGTTCCCCACATTGGCTTCTCTGCCCCAAGATTCACGAATGGCTTGCCTTCTAGCGAAATGTGGGGTGAGGGACTTAATTGCCAGCAACAAGAAGGGTTTCTTTGCACACTTATCTGGTTGATCTATAAGCAGTGAATAATTACGGCATCTCAAATAGAGCAGAAAGTCTTTAAATCTGTCTGGCAGATTGTTAAAACCTGTGACTACTGACGTGACCCTCAGGTCAGGTTCACAATAGTTCAGATGGCTTATATTGGAAAACCCGTACACGTCCCCCGTCTGGTTGGCCAACATGCTCAAAATGGGATTGTAGCGCTTATTCAACTTTTCTTGTTCCCTGTTCCAATATGCCGCAGGAGGGCTGGATATCTTCCAGAACTTTTCTTTGGGTATTATTACTTCCCCCTTTCCATTTTTTTCTTGGCTATTGCCTTTGGAGACTTCCACAATCAAATAAATGAAGACATTTACCATCATCAGGATAACCAACAACTTTATTCTGCGACGTCCAACACTCATTTCTCATATCTGGAATGAAAAAGGGAGAGTATTACATTAATAGTATGTTATTAATTTGCATTTTAATTTACTTCACTTGCCTCTTTGACTTTATTTCCTCTGGAAGAGTGGTTTAGAAGATAGATTCTGATAGATTCAAATCATAGCCCTACCCCTCTGGCTCTGTGATCACAGGCAAGTTGTATTAACCTATGTTTTAGCTTCTCTGTCTATAAAATGGGGATAATAACCCACTTCACAGGATGACTGTGAGGACTACATGATTGTATATGTAAAACTTTTAAAACAATGCCTGGCTCGTGGCAAGCACTATGTTAGCGACAGTTAACATTATTGTTTTAGACACTCTGAAGGCAGATATGCACGTGCTGAATAACCTCCTAGCTGTTCATATCTCCTTCCTTATAAGGGCACATATGAATCAGTGCTTTGCTAAGTCTTTGACTACAATTCATAATAACAAATATATTATATATGTTAGCTAATACACACATGTATCCATGTATTTATATGATGTTGCAATATGTGAAGTTCCATGTAACTCATTGATTTTCTATTTCATTTTTCTCCATTAAAAAATAAGTTGGTCCCAATCCTAAATTATTTCACAATCTACCATTTAAAGAAAAAAAATTATTGTGATTTGGATGAAAGTTTACAGAGCAAATTCATTTTCCATACAGCAGTTCATACACATTTTGTCTCATGACATTGACTGCAATTCCCTGCAATGTAACAGCTCTCTTCCTACTTCCTCCCTGTAAGTTACCTCTTCCCTGTCTGTGTCCTTCCCTCCCATCCACTCCCACCCCGAGCTGTCTCCCTGTGTAAACATTGCCCTTCCATTCTCCCATATACAATCTACCATTTTTACAAATGAGGGAAGCAAGGCCAAATGATTAAGACACTTGCCCAGGGATAAAGGGCTAGGAAGTAGAAGAGGCACTAACCACACAGCTTAGTCAGAAGGATAAAATGAAAGAGACACATAGTAGCTTTATCTATAATAGCTCCAAACTGAAGAGCGACCCAACTATCATCAACAGGAGAATGGATGAACAAATCTCAGAATATCCTTACAATGGAATACCCCTCCATCAATAGAAAGGGAAATTATTGCTATCAGCAAGAACATTTTGCTGTGAGTGAAAGCCACATACTCTTATCAGGCCCAGAACATGTACTGTGTGATTCCACTTACATGAAGTTCACTGAACACACAAGACTAATCTAGGCCACAGAACTCTCAAAGTGATGGGAGCAGCGGGTTTGACTGAAGAGGGGCAGGATGAAACTTCCTGGCGTGCAGACATGTACTACACATGCTGGTTTCTGGGGTATTTACAACTGTCAAAACTTAAATTGTACACTTAATATCTCTGCTGCTTACTGCATATAAATTATGTCTTGATGTATCTATGTGTATAGCAAAAAGGAAGAAAAGAAACGCAAGTGACATTTTAGTGAAGAATCTAAGGTCAAGAATAAATTTCAGAGTGTAACAGAAGAACAAAGAGTTTGATGAGATACTTTGCTAGGGATAATCTCAGGGTTCTAACTACTGAAATGGATGACGTGCACAAGAACCATCATTTAGATGGCTTGACATTAAAAGACAATCCAAACAAGTGAAATCAATACACTGTAAGCGCTACGAAGATGTCCTCAACAGGTACATTCTACTGCTCGTAACTTATCCTTAGAAAAGAATCCCAAAGTATCGTATCCCCGGCATTGTGCATTATTTCACAATGAGCCTAGAAAGTGGGTATTGTTCCTTTTGGTCCCACCATTTTATAGCTGAGGAGATAGATTTAAAGTTAAATAACTTTGTTGAAGAACAGAGCTGGAATTCCAAAGCCAGGACCATGTTAAATGGTGGCCACTCCCCCTGGAACCTCAAAAACAAAGTTGTATGACCATTATAATCAAGAGCAGTGTTTACTTTTTTAGGGGGGACCAGGTTTGCTGGTCCAATAGAGCCTGGTAGAACCACTGAGACTATGGCCCCTAGCTGCCCTTTAGGTCTGGAATTGAACGCATACCTGTGGCTTCCAGACAAACAAAAGATAGGCGTATGAGTTGAACACTTACCTGAGGTAGAAACAATCCTTGGAGAGTACAATCACGGGAGAAAGAAGGGCTGCTTACGCACAGGGAGAGAGCTCAGGGGGCAGGAGTGCATGGAGGGATGGACACAGGGAAGAGGTAATTATCAGGAGGAAGTGGGAGGGGAGCTTTTGCATTGTGGTAAATTGTGGTCAATGTCATGAGACAAAGTGTATGTGAAATGCTGTATGGAAAGTGAATTTGCTCTGTAAATTTTCACCCAAATCACAATTAAAAAAAAAAAAAAAAGAGTAGTGTTTACTTTCTTAAATAAAAGAGGTTTTATAAGTTCTAACAAACAGGCCCAATGTACGAGAGCATTTGTCATGCTGAGTGTGTGTAACACTTTTATAATTTGGGACAGCTCAGATTAGATCAAAATGCTTTTCAGTGCCTCTAAAAATCTGTCAAGTAGATCTTCATCTACTTACTTATATTTGTTGCTGTTACTGTTAGCAGCTCTCAAGTCAGCCTTGAACTCATGGAAACTCCGGTCCTGTGCCACCTCCATGATTAGTTGTGGATCAGATAGTTGTGACTCATGGGGTTTTCACTGGCTGATTTGAGGAATGAGATTCAGTCTGGAAGCTCTGCTGAAAATTTTCAGCATCGGAGCAACATGAAAGCTCTAGTGACAACCTGGTGGTCCCTGTGCTTGTGGTGCACTGGCAGGGTACCGGACCCTGGTCTCTGGCACGCAAAGCAGGAACCCTATCACTGAACCACCACTGCAGCCTGGTAAAATTCTTTTATAGACAAAGAAGTGAAAGGCTTAAAAAACAATAATAAAAACAGCTCCTTCTCCATGCTCATGCCACAAAAGCCTTTGCACATCTAGAGACTAACATGACAGATGACAAGTTCTGTGGCTCTCTTAGCTTACCCAAGCAGGCAATTCTCCCATGACCACCCCACTTCTCCCCTCTCTTACCCACCTCTACCCAACTTCACTCCCCAAGAATCCCACCACCAATTACTAAATAATTACTAATTACTTTTTAAATGTCCTTTCAAAGAAGGCAGGAAAACCACAAGACATTTCTCACTCCCTAATTACAGTTGTAAAGGGCCCCAAATCACATGCAGGCTAAAAAGTCCACACCTAAGTCTAAAGTCCACACTCTTCTTAAAGGTCACCTCCTTGACAAAGAGCCTTTGAGCAAATCTTATGAGCACACTGGAGGTCTGGGGTTCATCTTCCAACCAATGTTGGTCCAGCCAACCTTCCTACTAGGCTCAAGCTCTAAAGTCATCTGTGGCAACTTAAACCTCTTTGCTATGGGCCTAACTTACAAGGGCAAAAGAGCATAAATGGACATGTAGAATATATTTGCATGAGGGCCCAAAGCATATGACTGCTAACCAGAAGGTTGGCGGTTCAAACCCACCAGGCCCTCCTTGGAAGGAAGACTGGGCAATCCACTTCCATTAAGATTTACTGCCTTAGAAACGAAAAGGGGGTCGGTATGAGTTGGAATTGACTGATGGCAGTGAGTTTGGTTTTTAGTCTGATCTGATACAGTTAAAGAATTAACTATCTTTCTTAGAAAGTAAATCATAGATACATTTAAGTTTTTGGGGGGAGTTGGCTTCCAGATTTGAGACTAAGTATTTTTCAGAATATACAATTATGTCTAAATTCAGACAACTGTCTCAAAGTAATACTGATCTCTAGCTTTTGGGCCTTTCTAGCGAACAGATTGAACCCAATGGTGAGACTGAAGAAGGGCAAGATGGAGAACTATAAAGACGAATCAGAGAATGGACTATAGCTAAGGAAAAACAGAAAACAAAAATAGCATTCTATAAACAGCTAACTACTTGTCGGAGAATTTCAACCCAGAAAAGAAATTTAGACATCAACAAACTATTTCTGAAAATTCTAGAGTAGAAGAGGATAGCTTAAGGAATGAAAAGTAGAAGCACAGTACTTTCCACAGCAGATAGTGAACTCCCAGAGCTAATACATCCAGGAAATGATACAGGGTGAAGTCTACGTGAAGCAACTCCAGGTAACAGGTGATACCATCCAGGCTTAACCAGTCCACCAAGGAGAGCCCAAATCCTTCTTTTGGAACTACTTTGAGGAATACATTAGACTTGCTGACCAAGATTTCCAACTTCATCCACTACTAATTCAGGTTTTTATTTCCTGAACCAAGATCCAGCCAGGATACAGTCGGCTCAGCCTCCCTCAGCCACAAAAGGTTCGAGTGTTTTTCTAAGAAACACCATCTTTATCTTATATCTGCTCAAGGCTTCAGTCTGCAAAGCATTTCCCATCCATTTCTCACTAGCACCCTCCCTAAGGGAAGCCAGGGGGATGCCACTTTACCAGTGGGAAAAAGAAGACTCAGAGATTTAAGTGACAAGGCTGAGATGAGTCATCATTTCTAGCTCCTGCTCCAAAACTCTCTAATCTCCTCCTTTCTCTACAAGGCACAGCCACATTCTCATAAAGCTGGTCCAGGTAAACAGTCATCTCAAGTGCTGGCTCAAGACTGCAAATGTGCAAGGCTTAGGGCCAGTGTACCTGTGACCCATATCTAGAGTCTCAGACAAAGAGGAAATGGAAGAGCCTAGAAGCTCACATCCCCCTTCAGAAAATGGGCTAGGCTTTCTCGTGTAAGAGCCCACTAGTCCGTCCACATAGTATGAGGGGACTCTTGCCACTGCCTGCTAAAACGTATTTCCTTCTAACTAACCAGAGAAGGAAGGGTGAGGAAACCAAGAATCTAAATTACTCCATTTCCATTAAGTTTAACCTTCAGAATAACCTTCACTTCTTACCTTGTGCTCCCCAACAGGAAGGATCGGTTTTGAAACCTTTAAAACACTCCAGTTGATCTTGTTTGTTTAAAGACAACTTCCTTCTTTATTTGCAATTATATAATTATTCA